GTGGCTCCTGGAGCTCCTCAGCCACTGCTCAGGACATCAGCTGCCTGTGAGAGAGCAACGAAGAGCCTGGTGGTGTTGGGTGTTCCGAGCCCTCCCCTGCATGGAGAGGGTTCAGACAATCTGGTTTGTCTCCCGTTAAATGATTCTGGCATTGAGGAATGTGAAATCTTTGGTGGATAAGGAAGAACTGTGGGTTATTGGGGCTCTGTTCCAGGAGGTGTGTGGGATCACAGAATCCCAGAATGATTTGGGCTGGAGGTTTTGATGGGAACCTTAAAGTTCATCCCATTCCAACCCCTGCCATGGGCAGGGACACTTTCCATCAGTCCAGGTTGCTCCAAGCCCCATCCAGCCTGGCCTGGAACACTTCCAGGGATGGAGCAGCCACAGCTGCTCTGGGAAACCTGTGCCAGTGCCTCACCACCTCCCATGGAGGAATTTCTTCCTAATATCATCGGCCCCATGGAGAGATCCACCCCCACATGTCTCCATCCTATGCTGGTTTGTGTCTTTGCCCAGATCTTCGACCCTCCGGAGGAGCTGGAGCAGAAGGTGCAGGAGTTGGCAGACTTGATCAGGAGCTCCTCCAATGTGGTGTTTCACACAGGGGCAGGAATCAGCACAGCCTCAGGGATCCCTGACTTCAGGTAAGGACAAGGGGTTGGGAGGATGGCACCTCCTCCGAGTCCATCTTCCATCTTGGAAAGCTGTTGGAAAGCTCTGGTTTACCCCAGCCAGATGTACTCCATCCCTTCCGTGGGTCCTGGATCCAGCTCTGAACTCTCTTTTCCCTCTTGCACACCTGTCTGGCATTCAGCTGTTCTGTCCTTGCATCAGCCACCCAAATCCTGCTGATCTGTGCCCTCCATTTCACCCTCCATGGATGTGGAGCTGGTGGTGCACATGGAGCCTGAGCTCTTCCTTCTCCCTCTTTCCCATGGCTGCAGAGGCCCCAATGGTGTGTGGACCATGGAAGAGAAAGGACTCTCCCCCAAATTTGACACCACCTTTGAGAATGCCAGACCCTCCAAGACTCACATGGCACTGCTGGGGCTGCAGAGAGTTGGGATCCTGAAATTCCTGGTCAGCCAGAACGTGGATGGCCTTCACGTGCGTTCCGGATTCCCACGGTACTGCCTCTCCCTCGCGCCTCTCCCAGCTGCCTGGGAGGGATTTGATTCCCAAGACTGGCTTGGAAATCTGCCCTGGCTCATCTGGGGAGTGGAAACTGGGAGGGGATAAACCAGGTGGAGTTTAGAGGAGAGAGGTTGTGGTGCTGATCCAGAGAGTGATGGAATTAAGTCAGCTTTGGTTGTTGCTTCCAGACGTTGTTTATGCACAAGGAAAACAGGTCATGAATTGTAGCATCTCAGAATGGTTTGAGTTGGGAAGGAGCTTAAAGCTCATCTCATTCCACCCCCTGCCATGGGTAGGGACACCTTCCACTAGTCCAGGTTGCTCCAAGCTCCATCTAACTACTTTCCCATCCAGGTCTTGGTGTAGGTGTTGGTGCTGCCGTGAGCACCTGCAGCTGCCTGAGGGTGAGATGGCTCCAAGCAGGACATGTGCTTCTGGGAACAGCTTGGAGCTGTGCTTCCTGGTCCTTGCCACCCCCTCCATACCCACCCTGAGGCTGGAGGGACAGGAGGGAGGATGGGAGCACCTGAAACAGCTCCAGCTCCTCACAGAGACACATCCTGCCCCAGTTAACGGCATTGCCAGAGCTCTCAGAGCACTGGAGCTTGGGATGCTTCAATTAGCTGGGATTAAATATCTTGAGAGACATCAAATAAGTGCTGGGCCCCCTCCAAAAAAGCCTTAAAAAGCATTTTGTCTCCCAATAAATTAGCAAAACCAGGGAGAATCCCATGGTTGGAATTAGTCTGACTTACCAGTTGTCTGTGATGGTGTCGGGATCCCACGTAGCATTCCCAAGGATTCAGGAGATTCCCTCTGAGGTGCAGGAGCTGAGGGTCTGAGAGCTTCCCTCCCTGCATGGGGGGACTGGAGTGGCTGTCTCAAGGATGTCCTCAGAGGAACCTGCCTCTCCCTCAGCCCTCGTGACAGCAACAGCTTTGCCCTTCCAGAACCTCAGCCCGTTACAAAACCCATTCCCAGCACTTAAGAGCAGCCAGTGATTGTCTTGGGAGGGAAATGCTCGGAGCTGCCTGGAAAGGGGAGGGAGAGCAGCTGAGTTCAAGTAAGAAAAGAAAATGGAGTTCATTGAGGCTTGAAAGATGCCAAGTGTCTGGGACTGACGTTAGTTCCTCTGTGGTTTGTGCTGAGGCACCAGCACAGGTTGCCTGGAGGAGCTGTGGATGCTCCATCCCTGGAAACAGGGATGGAAACAAGCTCTGGGCAACACTCTCAGGCACGTGGTGGGATTTTCGGGGTTGTCCTGTGCAAGGCCAGGAATTGGACTCGATGAGCCTGTGTGTTGCTTCCCACTCAGGATATTCTATCATCCCTGGAAACATTCAAGGTCAGGTTGGAGCAACCTGGGCTAGTGAAAGGTGTCCCTGCTTATGGCAGGGGGTGGACTAGAAGGTTTTAAAGGTCCCTTCCAAGCCAAACAATTCCATGAGTTGGGATAAGAATGAGGAGCCTGAGTGGGCCCTGGGAGAAGATGCATCTCACAAACACCTTCAGCCACCACTGGCTGAGCAGAGCTGACCCAGGGGGGATTTCCAAATTCCAAGTGCTGGTTCCTGCTCCCAGCACCATGTCTGGCTGTTTAAACTACACATCCATGGGAAAAGGAGTAGGGAATAACCAGCAGAACTCCATGGTGCTCCCTCAGCCCTCCAGTTGAGCCCAGCTCTGCTGCCCAAACCAAACCTGTGCTTGAGTAAGCACTGGGGCCAGACTGGGGGAAATGAAGTCAGTCCTTGCTCATCCACCCTGGAGGAGGTTCCCAGTCAGTGTGGGGTTCCATGGGAGAACATGGCTGTGTTTTCCTCTGGTTTCTGTGAGGGGAATTTTAGGGAAAATAGGTATTGGAGGGCTGGGATGATGCAGGGACAGAGAGGAGTGCTGAGAAAAGCAAAGATCCAGGTGCTCCTGGGAGCAGAGATTGGAGCTGGATCAGAGCAGGAGCTGGAATTAGTGCTGCAGATGGAAGCATTAAAACCAGGACATGCTGTCCCTCCCTCAGTCCCTGCAGTGGTGGTGGCCAAGGCCCAGAGTTGTCATGAATCCATCACCTGGCAGAACTGGAATGCAGGGAAGCCCTTGAGGCTCAAGCAACCTGGTGAGGAGAGGATTTACCTACCCCAGGGCTCTCCCCCTTCCCCAGCTCACTTGTGTTTCTCCCCCAGGGACAAGCTGGCTGAGCTCCATGGGAACATGTTTGTGGAAGAGTGCGTGAAATGCGGCAAGTATGTGGTCCCTGAGCCCGGAGCTGGGGCTCGTTGGGTTTTCCATCCCAGTTTGGTTGGGTTTTCCTTCCCACTTTGTGTCAGGAGGGGCGTGGCAGCCCCTCCCTGTGTTCCTGGCCCTGACTCTGGCTCTCCCCAGGCAGTACGTGCGGGACAGCGTCGTGGGCAGCATGGGGCTGAAGCCCACGGGTCGGCTCTGCAGTGTCACCAAGGCCCGAGGGCTGAGAGCCTGCAGGTAGGGCTGCAGGGACAATGGGTGTGGGGACACGGGGGGCAGGGACACCCTCACCTCTGCAGGTGGCCAACAGCCCCTCTCAGGCTCAGGGGAAGCCAAGGGTGCAGCTGAAGGAGGTGATTCTCCCACTCTGCTTTGCACCCACCTGGAGCACTGCACACAGTTCTGGTGTCCCAAACATCAGGAGGATGTGGAACTGTTGGAGCAAGTCCAGAGGAGCAGAGGATTGGAGCATCTTCCCTATGAGAGAGTTGGGGCTGCTCAGCCTGGAGAAGAGAAGGTTGTGTGGAGACCTCAGAGCAACCTGCAGGAGCTGAAGGGGCTCCAGGGAAGCTGCAGAGGGATTTGGTTAGGAGCTGCAGGGACAGGACAAGGAGCAATGGGGAGAAATTGAAAGAGGGAAATTTAGATTAAATATTAGGAAGTTTTTCCCTGTGAGGGCTGCAACAACACATCATCAGTAGGGTAAAACTAACCTGTCTCACGACGGTCTAATCCCAGCTCACGTTCCCTATGTGAGGGTGGTGAGACCCTGGCACAGGTTGCCCAGGGAGGCTGTGGCTGCTCCATCCCTGGCACTGTTCATTCCAGGTTGGAAAAAGCCTTGAGCAACCTGCTCTGGTGGGACCAGGCCTTGTCCCAAGTCCCTCTGCAGCTCTGCTGGAGCCCCTTGAGGCACTGGAAGGGGCTCTAAGATCTCCCTGGAGCTTTTCTTCTCCACCCTGGGCCCAGGGCAGGGGGTGAAACTGGATGATCTCTAACTCCATCCCAACCCCTTAACATCCTATGATGCTGTGAAGATCTCCAGATCTCTCTGTCTGTTCTCAGTGCTGGCCAGGGAGGGTGGGATAGGGTCTGGATCGCTGTCCCCTCTGCCTGGCAGGGATGAACATGGTCCCTGTGTATTTTCCAGAGGGAAGTTAAGAGACACGATTCTGGACTGGGAAGATTCCCTGCCTGACCGTGACCTCACGCTGGCAGATGAAGCCTGCAGGTACTGAGCCCCCTGGGCAGTGGGAGGTGTCTCTGCCCTTGGCAGGGGATGGCACAAGATGGGCTTTAAGGTCCTTCCAACCCAAGCCATTCCATGATTCTGAATTTTTGTCCCCTCCCTGCAGGAAAGCTGATCTCTCTGTCACCCTGGGCACCTCTCTGCAGATCAAACCCAGTGGGAACCTCCCCCTGATCACCAAGAAGAGAGGAGGGAAGCTGGTCATAGTCAACCTACAAGCAACCAAACACGTGAGTGATGTCCTCACTGCTCTGCACTGCTCCTTTCCCCTCGGGTCACCTGCTCCAGGCCCATCCCAACTTTGTCTCTGCACGTTGTCCCCTCCCAGGTGGCCTCTCTTGGCAGGCAAACAGGCTGAGTGTCCTGTGGTGGAGGGTTTAAACCTGCAATTCCTGATAAACATGTAGAATTGCAGGTAAATCAGAGAATCCAGACTGGTTTGGGTTGGGAGGGACCTCAAAGCTCATGTAGAACACAGGCAGGGACACCTTCACTACTAGCCCACGTTGCTCCAAGCCCCATCCAGACTTATCCAAGCAAATCTTAAGAGCAGAATAAAAATTCAGCCTGAAGCTTGATGTATCCTCTGGTCTCCTCTGCCATGGCTGCAGGGAGAGGACTTGAGCTGAGACAGGGGAGAGTTAGAGGAGATGTTTGAAAGAAGTTCTTCGCTGTTAGGGTGGTCAGACACTGGAATAGGTTGCCCAGGGAGGTGGTGGAGTCACCATCCCTGGAAGTGTTTTAAGAGGCCTCTGGACAAAAGGAGGATATATGTCCCTACCCTTTGGACCCCACAGCAGTGACAGGTTATTAGTTGGACTTGATGATTTTAGAGGTCTCCTCCAACCTTGATGCTTCCATGAATTGTAGCCTGGTGGAATGACCATGCACATGGAGCCTGTGTAGGTCATACTTAGTTCATGCTCAGCCCTGATTTTGCTGCCTCAATTGTCCAGAATCTTTCCTAACCACACCTGAGGGTTTCTGGACTGTCATAAGAACTCCTTATCCCTATTCCTGCTCTGGCTCTGTGCTCATATCCCCATCTCCAGGCCATGCTCCGAGCTGTGGCTCTTCCTTTTCCACTGGGGATGACATCCTGGGGACAGCACCTGCATGCTCCAAGTCACCCCATTTTCCCCCTAACACCTCTGCTTGCCCCAGGACCGCCAGGCTGACCTGCGCATCCATGGCTACGTGGATGAGGTGATGACAAAGCTGATGAAGCACCTGGGGCTGGAGGTGCCAGAGTGGTCAGGGCCAGTGGTGGTGGAGCATGCAGAGCTCACCAAGCCTGAACAGCTCAGCTCATTGGACCCCACAGCCCGTGGGAGGCTGAAGGAGGAGCCTGTCTCCCAGCACAATGGCACAGGAGGGATGTGCCCTGGGAATACGCTGGTGGAACGCCGGGATGGGCTGAAGGAGGAGTGTCCCAGCCCGAGGATGGTGAAGAAGATGAAGGTGGAGCCTCTGCTGACCTGACCAGGACTGTTCCCTCTCTCTAGACGCTCGTCTGTGCCGCTTTTCCTACCGACTTTTTTTTATATCCTTAAATATTGTCCCTTTTTTTATGTAAGTATTAAACACACTTGAATCGTGGCTGTGACAGGGCAGCTGCACCCATGGGCTTGGGAAGGGTATTGCTCCTCAAAACATCCCAAGCTCCTAATGCCTTCCCTGAGAGGAGGCAGCTGTGGGGCACAGCTGGAGCTCAGGGAGCAGAGGGATGTGGGTGCTCAGTGCTGGGATAGTGACCCAGGATTGTTGGTGCTGAGTGGTGGTTGGGATGAGCCACAGTGATGTCCTGGCAGAGATCCCACAGAGCCCATCCCGTGGTCTGGGGAATGTGGAACAGGTTGTCCAGAGCAGCTGCGGCTGGGCCGGGTTCTGGGGGGGTCGCTGA